TCCTACTAATTAAATTATGAATTTTATCTCTATTATGTCTCTTAAAGGATGATTTCTATTTTTAAGGATACTTTAAATGAATTGTATGAGTATGGCTTGTAAAGATTAAGAATTATCTTGGTAAATGTGATTTTCTTGGAAAATAACTTAAATAAGCATGACTACATGATATTGAGTAATAAGCATGACTATATATCGATATGACTAGATAAGCATCTCTTGTAAAGATTACGATGCATTGGTTGATGAATAAGTTATAAGATATGTTCATTATGCTATTAAGCCTATTCTTCATAATATGACTGGATTATGTAATTGGCTAAATAAGTGAGTTATGAGAAAGAAATGAAAGTAGGATACTTATGCCAAAATCTTTATGCGATTTTGATATTGGAATCTAATATTAGAATTTTGACTTGTTAATGAGAACGTAAGTAAAACTTGACTTATATGCTAGATTATATATGGATGAATTATGCTTCAATGAATAAAATGTGATTATATGACTTGTTTATGAAAAGATAATCTATAAGAATAATTTATGAGAAGGTATGCAATATGTTATATGATAATAAGCTTAATACTTGAGATTTAAGAATAATATTATGATGTGATCATGTGAGATTAAGATTTTATAAAGTGAATATGAAAAATCTTTTTAAGACCCCAGTAAGCTTGGTTGGTGAAAAGAATATGGTTTTGTTAAACAAAGTATGGAATGACATTATATATTTGAAAGTATGTTGAAAATGAATGCATGATTTACTTATGTGAAACATTATGAATATTTGAAAAGAATATGGTTTTGTTAAACAAAGTATGGAATGACATTATATATTTGAAAGTATGTTGAAAATGAATGCATGATTTACTTATGTGAAACATTATGAATATTTGAAAAGAATATGGTTTTGTTAAACAAAGTATGGAATGACATTATATATTTGAAAGTATGTTGAAAATGAATGCATGATTTACTTATGTGAAACATTATGAATATTTGAAAAGAATATGGTTTTGTTAAACAAAGTATGGAATGACATTATATATTTGAAAGTATGTTGAAAATGAATGCATGATTTACTTATGTGAAACATTATGAATATTTGAAAAGAATATGGTTTTGTTAAACAAAGTATGGAATGACATTATATATTTGAAAGTATGTTGAAAATGAATGCATGATTTACTTATGTGAAACATTATGAATATTTGAAAAGAATATGGTTTTGTTAAACAAAGTATGGAATGACATTATATATTTGAAAGTATGTTGAAAATGAATGCATGATTTATAAATGTCCTTTTTAGGATTCTCAAGGTATATTACAATGATTTCATTGTTTGGAATTCTTATTGGAATAATATATGTTGTATGGTTAATTTGAAAAGTTGGATTACTTTAGGGGTTATAATATGAAGTAATATGATTTAATTGAATTTATAAATGGATGAACATCTTATATGTCTTGTGGTAATGTCTGATATGTCGCATAAATTTCCTTCATTTGAAATTGTGTTTGAATGAATTATAAATATGCATATTATTTACAGCTCGAAATTGTTTTGTTTTGTATGAAATATACGTTTATCTTGCTTGTCAGAATGCTTTGTATGAAATCCTTTGTATTTTAGGGATTTGGAGCACCACTAGACATTATTGCTTAACACGTTGATTCATCACGCCTATGTATTAGATAGATGTTGATGGGCAAAGGAAAGCTTTTGTATCCAAGTTAGAGATTTATTTTGATAGCATTGATGTTATTGTATTTGGCTAGCTTGTATTCTAGCATCTTTGGCATGTATATGATATTGAAGCTAATCTGTGTATTTAAAAAGAGATTGTATTTGTAACCATATATATTTATGCATAGTTGATTTATATTCATGTATATGAGATGATTAAGAATGTTTATGATGAATACTTGCGCAATGTAATTATAGATTTGTGTATTGTGGTAGTAGTATGATTTATTTGTGATGGAGTTGATATTGTGATGATATATGAGATCTATAGGTTGGGAATATTGAAGTTTCAATAGAGAGACAATGTTTAGGATATAGAAGTGTTCATACTTGTCCAAATTTTGATAAGTTGTATTTTTAGAGGAAACTCTTTTAGTTTTTCTACGGGAATTTTCAAAATTTTATTCTAAGTACTTTTTGGGTTCATTATCTCTTGATATTCAAGTATGATTAATTCTTAATGATTAGTTAAGCTATGATTTATGCAGGTTTAGATTTGTGCATTTGGCACAGAATATGGCATTCGATGTCTAATCTTTTAGGACAGGGTAATAGTTATTGCAATGCCCACAAGTGTAAACCAGATCCTCAGATCAGTCACTAACAAAATGATTAGGTGGAGTGATTTCTATGTCAATCTTGACCAAAGTTGTCATATCCTTCATTTTCTATGGCAATCCATAAGCGGTCGATGCTATTATGTAGGTTCATCATACTATTTTGCACGTTCACACGAAACGCACGCGTTTCTTCCACAATCAGCTGAAAGGCTTACTCATATCTCAGTACAAATTGTTTGATAGACCGATTTGTCTATTCCAAAGGTTGAACCTTCTGTTAGGCGCTTGAAATCACTCGAACCTAAATATACCAAATCATTCGGTCGATTTCAACAGCATCTTGATATCTTAACAAAAACCCTAGAGGGTCCCATCGAATGTGATAGAAAAGTTGTTTGATCTAAATTATTATGGATCTCTTAGGCCTATGTTTATCAAAAGTGCCTAGGGATAAGCTAAATAAATGGGTCAGGGCCTATTTAGTCCGAAAAGAAAGGGATGAAAATAGGAAGAGCTCATGAGGGGGAAAAACAAAGATGAGTGGGATAAAAGAGAAATGTAAGAAATTAGGATGTTGAAAAAAGAAAGAGGATTCAAGGTAACTTGAACGCACGAGGCTATTTGATTTGCTTGTAAAGATTCGCATGTCCATTACAAAATTTGTTTACAAGCAAGGTGCTACTCTTAAATATTTTCTAGAAAATCTCTACAAAAATAAAAAATGCAATATTTACAATTTATGAATTTCAGACCTAAATGACCCTCTTGGTACTGTTCTAATTATATAATGACTTTTTTATATCTTGGTCAATTCGAGCCTCTTATTTGGGCTTGATTTTTGGACCGACATCAATACTAGATTAAAATAAAAGTTGAGAATGTCACATAGATTTACGAAAAATAGAATGGTAAATTTATAAACTTGGCCTATTCACAAACCTAACCTACTTCGGGTTGAACCTAATTAGGAATTCTATTGTAATCAGAAGTAAAGTAAGATCTATAATGAAATTCTTAAATAGAAATATACCTATAAATAAACCTCAGGTCGATGTCAAATTTTGAAACTTTAATTTAAAAATATTAATTCAGTTCTATTGTAAGCTTAATTTAAAAATTTAAAAATATCAATTTTGAAACTTTAATTTAAAAATATCAATTTCGCCGGAAAATTGTCACCACCATGATGTTGTTTATGCTTTGAAGAAACAAGACAGGACTTTCGATTATGTTTAGATTGATATTGATACATATATACTATTTCGGCTACTTTTTCTTCCATTAAGGAAACAAAATCTCTGGATTCATTTTATAAGTGTTCAAAAATGATAATCAAAGCTTTCCTTGTAGTTTGTCTAGGGTTTTCGCATTGTGGTAATCAAAGGAGAAATGGTTTTTGTGGGTTGAAGGCGAGTTTGGTTGAATAAACCGGTTAGTTTCACTTTAATGTACTGTATTCATCGAGGATAGTTTGGATCTGATTTATTTTTTTATCAATATTGATATTCTCTTTTTTTTTTTTTTTTTTTTTTTTTTTAGTTTGGATCTGATTTATTTTTTTATCAATATTGATATTCTCCTTTGGTGTTTTTTTTTTTTTTTTTTTTTTTTTTGACGTTTTTGTTAACTAAAAACTTAATTTCTGCCATTTATTAAGTTGACCCTAAAACCTCCGGGCCGCCAAATTTAGTCCATTTTTTTGGGTTGGCTCAACCGGAGGTCTTCACCGTTAATAGTCGTTCGTCCTTTTGCTTTACTGGGCTTCAAGAAGCACATTTATTATGTGGTTTGTTTTCGCATTATCTCCCCGACACGGATCTGTAATTTAAATATTGATGTAGGCTTTCGCTGGATTATTGTACCCTACGCTCTATCTCCTGGGTTTGTTTCAAGGAGATTTTTGAATGCTTAGAGACAAACTGTCCATCATTCGGGTCGTCCCTCCGGCGGCAGCTAGGGCAATCTTTAGAGGCATTGCTTCAACGCAACTTGCGTTGTATGAGGTGCTTAAGTGGGAACGAGCTCTGTTCTTAGTCCATATGTTTTAAAGTGTGGTGAAATTGACATTATGCACTTAGTAGCGTATTAGATTAGTCGAATATGGGAAAGTAACCAAAATTTAATTATGAGGCCGTTCCACCAACATTTTCTTAAAGGTGATATATAGTAAATTTGAAGAGATTTATGATCTCTTATATTTTTGTTTTTTAATAGATATCAGGTATCATTGCAATATTTTGATCACAGGGTGGATTACAATAAAGGGCAAAAGAGTTTTTTTTTTTTTTTTTTTTTTTTTTTTTGACGTTTTGTTAATCTAAAAACTTAATTTCTGCCATTTATTAAGTTGACCCTAAACCTCGGGCCCAAAAGTCCATTTTGGGCTCAAGGGGTCTTCCTAAAGTCTGTCTTCTTGGCACGCTTCAACAATTATTATTTTTGTTCCATTATCCCGACACATTGAATTTAAAATTGATGACTTGTATATTTTGTCTATCTCCTTTTGTTTCAAGGAGATTGATGCTAAAAAACTGTCATCCAGCAGGGTCTAGACATTGCTCAAGAATTGCTTATGTGCAAAGTTGAAATTTGTTAGTCCATAGTGACAATTGTGAAATGACATTATCAGTGTATAATTAGGCATATGAAAATAACAAAAAATACCCAAACATTTTAAGTATATATATATAATTTGAGAGAATATCTTAAATTTTGTTTTTAATAATATATACAAAAATGATACAGATACAATAAAGGGAAAAAAAAAAAGAAATTAGCTAAGAAAATACCATCTTATCTTGCTCTTCAATCTCATGAATCCCTTGCTGAAATGTACACAAAGGAGAAGGAAAAGGAGATGAAGAAGAAAAAGTAGAAACAGCAGAGGAAAAAGAAGTACTATTAGTAGAATAAGAAGCATCAGCTGCATCAATATTAATTTGAACAAGCAGATCAATAAATGCTCCGACTATAAATCCATGGTTCTTCTTTCCATTAACCTTTAAATACCATCTTAATAACTCCTCTAAACAATCCCAGTCTTTAAGTCCATGAGACTCCACCATCTCTTCCATTGATCTTCTAAAATCAACATATGGATTCTCTGACTCTAAAGCTAAAACTACACTTTCCTTGAATGGTTTCGCTTCTTCTAGTATTGAATTTGTGTCCCCGGGCTCAAAGAACAATCTATCTGATGTAACTCCACGAACGACCATTTCTAATGACTCGCCATCAAACTCGTCTGACTCAGTTGAGAAACTAGAAGTCTCTGATGAGTTGGTGAACCACAACTCGGAAGTTTCAACCCCATCGACAACAGAATCAAAGAAGACTGAGTTTACAGTCTTGAAAACGTCATCTCTGAAAGAACGAGTCTTGGGATTGTTGCAAGAAGCCCATTTTGTTTCTTTGTTTTTAAAGATTGAGGGGATTTTCATCTTTCTTTGTCGCTGATCTTTCTCTGGTTATCAATGGTGATGTTTTTAAACAAGAGGGAGAGTAAGAGTGATATAGTATTTAAAGAAGAAGTGAGGAAGATGGAAAGAAAATGGGACTGATAGGGCCTCTCATGCGTCCATTAAATATGTAGGTTTGATGAATTCAATGTGTTATTAAATGTCTCCTAACAGCAACTCTTTCCCTTTTATTTATTACTAGTATTTGTTTGTCAACAGAATTTTTTATTATGATCCTTTCCTTCTTAATTTTTTTATTTTTTTTTAATGTGCAAAATCTCTGCTTTCTTTGATTTTTTGTCCCCCAAAACGTGCTTCACAGCACCAGCCAGGCAAGTAATAATATATTTTTAAGAACGGTAAACAATTACTTTTACTGTGTTTTCTGTTATTTACATTATTTCAATATGATACCTAAGGAATTGTGCTGGACAATGATCGGTAAATTTGAACGGTTTTTCAATACAAATTAACTAATTTTGTTTGATTTTAAAATTTTGATTTCATTTGAGTTCTAATAGAAAAATTTTGAAATTTGAAAGGATAATAAATTTAGTAAAATTAATGAATGTTTTACAACAATTGTTTATTTAATCACTACAAAAAACTATTAAATAATTTATCTTTGCGGACAGATTAACATCCCCTCCATCCCACTTTAAGAGTCATATATTATTCTTGAATTTCTCACATAATAATTAAGAAAATAATAAGAAAATCTTATTTTTCTAAAAGTATATACTAAAATGACTAAATTGCTCCTTTTTAAAATTTAAAACTCTCAATTTGATTTTATTATGAACCTAATGCTAATTGTATCTTATGTTAAAGCTTCACCAGTAAAATAATACTATTCATCTTTCTTCAAATCATGAATTGCATACATTTTTTTTTCTTTAAAAATGTATATGATAAAGCAACACCATAAAATTTGACTGAGTGTGAAATTTTATTTTCCAAAATTCGTCTATGAAATAAATGCCTTGATTGAATGATAAAAAAATTTTAGTTGTATGTAGTTAAAATTTTAATTTAAGGACGATTAAAATAATGATAAAAAAGATTCAAATAAATACAAATATAAAAATAAATTACATCTCGTAAATACGAGGAAAATTGGAAAAAAATTTATTAATATATTTTCAAATTTCTAACTAGCCACTTAAAAAGGGAACACAATAAAATACATATATGTAGCTCTTAAAGTGGGACCGATGAAGTAAAAATTTTAATTTTAAATTATTTTCTATAATGTCTATATATATATATATAAAGTGGGCACCGAATGAAGTTAAAAAATTTTTAATTTAAATTATTTTTCTATAATTCCTATATATATTATTTATTATATACTATATTTACTATATTATATTGAATTGTGGTTAATGTTCAAAAAAACCAAATTTTAATTAATGGTCACTCACCTAGTTGACCCTCTATTATTAGTTTTTTTTTGGCAATCAACAATGCAATTACATAAGGTTATTATTTTAAAGTAGTTTGACCTTTTGGTTTTAAAAATTTTAATCAAACCATTTCCAAAATGGTTTTTGATTTGTTTATATTTAATTGAATTGTGGTTAATGTTCAAAAAAAAAATTTTAATTATGGTTCAACCTAGTTGACCCTCTAATTATTAGTTTTTGGCATCAAACCATCAATTACATAAGGTTATATTTTAAATAGTTTGATTTGGTTTAAAAATTTATCAAACCATTTTCAAAATGGTTTTATTTGGTTTTTATTTAATAGAACCATATAAAAATCGAATCAAATTATTTTCTTAAAAAGTTGTAATTATTTATTTCCTTCCTTCCATTTTGTTTGCTTGTTATTCCTTTTTGGGATATTTCAAAATGTTTGCAAGATTTCTAAATTTGTATATTTAAATAGTTATTTTTTCTATAATAACATTTATGATTATTCATTAAATGAATGACTTTTATTAATATTTTAATGAGTTAAGGTAAAAAAGGACTCAATAATTTTTATTGATTAAATTTTCAATAAAAATGTATAGTGTCAAACCATGCAAATAAAATGGAACTAGGAGAATATAATTTTTTAACTAGAAAGATGTGATATTACTAATTTTATGGCTGAATTTTAATAATTAAAAGATTATTCCAATCAATTATTTAGTGAACACTTTTAATGAATGCAACTATAAAATAGAAAGAAATTTACTTTTTTTTTTGTTTTACTGATACTTTAGCATTATATTTATTGACTGGTGTAAAAATATTTTTTATACGACCAGATCACAAAACGCCAAATCGATATATTATAATTTAATTTAGTTTGATTTTATTGATTAATAATTTGATTTGAAAATTTTTCAAACTGCAATTTATGATAATGGTTTGAAAATATTTTCAACCAGACTGAACCAAACATTGCCTAACTCAGAAGTTAGGCACAGGCCCTAAATTAATATGTGTCTCTGCAAAACAAATCCATCGGTAGAACCGGTGATTTGATATGTACTTTTTACAATACCTTAGGATTTAGCTGTAAATGGAAAAGTTTGTATTCTTAAGAAGGTTCAAATGAAGGACCATATATTTATAGTTGAAATCTAGTTTTTGAACATCAGTGCCACTGCAAATAATGTTCAAATAATGTAGGAATTAACAAATAAAAATAAAAGAATACAGCAAATAATTATTATTTTTCATTAATTATTTTAATAATACACTAATTTTGGATTTTCGCTAAGAGTAATTATTTTAATATTGATGTATCACTATTCTAGTAGTTGGGGAAAATGAAAGAATCATATGGTAGTTTAAGCACTTCATGTGCAAGGAAGGAAGAAAGTGACTCAAAAAAAAAAAAACAAAAACAAAAACAAAAGGAAGAAAGTGACTCAAAAAAAAAAAAAAAAAAAAAAAAAAGAAAAAAAAAGGAAAAAAAAAAAAAAAAAAAGAAAAAGAAAAAGGGTAATAGAATGAACAAACAAATAAAGTCGCCAAATTCATGTGAGTTATTTATGAGAGAACGGTTGAATCATGCACACTTGTCTTTTCATTTAAGACGCGAAGAGCGACTCATTGATTGGGTGCCTCAGTTTGTCGTGCTCTAGGTTAATTTACTTTTTCTTATTTCTCCCTCCATTTTAAAATATCGAATATAAATATTTAAAATTTTTATAAAAAATTAAAAAAATAATTAATTTGCTTAAATTGTAATACTCTCTCAATTTTTTTTATACAGAAAAACTTAAATTTTTACCAAAATTAAAAAACTGATTTAACCAACTTTTTTGTCTTTTTTTTTTCCTAATTTACTCATAATATCTCATTAATATCTCCTCGAATATAAATATATGTCTTAAATTACATTTCGCCTTAAATAAAACTTAAATGCTTGGTTAGAATGAAGGGAATATAAACAGGTAAAAAAAAAATGAAGTTTATGTTCTGACCTTTGAAGAATATATATATTTGCCTTTGTTTGCAAAGATTGTGTGAATATAAAAATTTGTGCTCATCTATCCATTCAGTCGTCTTTGATTATTGAAAGTAATATAATGTAATTTCTAAATATTTGGACAAAGTTCGTATGGATTCCTTTAAATGTGGTCAATTTAAAAATTTTGTAGTCTTTTTTCTATTTAAACTCCATTTTAATCAACATTTATATCGTCTATACGAACATATTTTTTTTCAACAGAATTGATGTAAAAACATTCTATTCTTCAAAATTTCTTCAAATTAAAAACTCATTTGTAGTTTTGTCTACTACTACCTTGAAAATCTCTTGTACTAAAAGCTTCATAAAGGATTAAGAAAAGAGTAAGATGGACTTTTCACATTGGCATTATTTCTAGAATTACAAAAATAGGTAAAATTCTCTATATAAAAAGAATACCCAAATAGAAATTTTTCCCACTTATGTTCTCTTTATATAAAGAAACTTTCCAATTGATGTGTTTCTTTTATATAGAGAATTTTACTTTAAATAAAAATTTTAAGGAATGATGCTAGATGAAAAGTCCAAAATGCCCTTATATGAGCTCTGTTATCCATGTGAAAATTGCTCACTGAACTAGAAAAGTGAGACAAAAAAGAGGAATGACATTTAGTACACTTGTGTTTCCAAAGTATGATCGAATGACTATTTTCTGTGTATTTTTATAAGTGTGCTAGACTTTATGGATGTGAGCATAAATATAAGTAACAATTTTTGTAATTATCTTGTGACATTCTAGGCGAATCCCACATCGGTTAAGCACAAAGTAAAAGTGATGTACATAAGGAAGAACAAGCCTTAAACTAATAGGAGGCCTTCTGGGCTATTGAGTTGGTTCAAACCCAGGAACAAAATTGTGTGGGCCTGAGTGGGTTTGCCCAAAGCGAATATCTTGCTAGGCTTGAAAGAATTATATTATTTTTAAAAACTTATGTAGATTAATGCTTATGAAAGAGTTATATTACTTTTATTTTTAAAAATTATTCGGCCTAATGCATAAATTCCCTCCTAAACTTTCAGACTTTAACTATTTGTCAACTTCAATTTTGCCAGGGACCTAATAAGCCCCTTTTAGTTTTTATATCTTCTACACTCTTATTCAGTCACAGAATTAAGCGTGAAATACAATCGCCTCTTGCGTGGCATTTTTTCAAACACATTTGTATACTTTATTCCACATGTGCAACTTTTTATCTGGCAATGACAACCTAAACTAGTCAGATTCCCTCAACCTCTTCTTATTAGGTTTCTTCGATGGTAGCATGATCATGGTCGATGTCCAGCTTATTATGGTCGACCCAAACAGTGAGAACGGCAGCTCTGCAATTTAAAAGTCTTGAACTTCGAAAACTCAATGTAGTTGTACTAGGTTTCTTTTACTTGTAATGATTATGTTTGTTTTGCTTCTCCACATCTACGCAAAATGGCTTTTACAATGATCTCACCACAAAAGCAAAAGCATCTACCTCCAGGGATACGACTAGTTACATATCTATAACTAGTCGTATCCCTGCAACTTATGTAGGTTAATGCTTATGAAAGAGTTATATTATTTTTATTTTTAAAAATTATTCGGCCTAATGGGTTAATGGGCTATAAAAGATGAATTATTTATTTTTAAAAATTAATTCGG